TTACGTAATAGCATGTCGAATAATTAATATATAGACATATATATATATATATATATATATATATATATAACTATTCAATCACAATTGAGTTTAATGTATTATGGTTTTGTCTGTTAAAATTATACTACACTGTGTGCCTGTGCTATTATATAGTGATGATGCAAATGACATCCCTACTATCTTGTCTACATTGTTTTTGAAGAACGGATATCAGCCATCCCTACATTTACTTCCTTTTTTGAAAAGTTTTTCTTTACTTGTATAAAATGAGCACAGATAGTCAATCTGTTCTGTATAATCTGGACACAGCAGTAGTCAACCTACACCATTTATTATACTTGCATGTTTTGGATTCTGTATGTACTGGGCAAATATTGTTAATCTGTACTACGTATATGCAAGTGGGTAACTTATGTAATCATGCATAGACTTGACACTAGGGTTGCTAGTCTTTACTGAATAGACAAGAAATTAAGATAGTTTGTCTAATCTAGTATACACTAAGTATACCTAAACCATTGGACAGTTCATCCAACCAGGACTGGAAATATCATAATGTAGTGGCTTATTTATTGCATATTATTTGTATAGTTTTTCTTCCATAGGGTTTTGTAGTTAAAATTTCTCCATGTTCACATTTATTTAAATTTGTATTCCAAATTGTTTGAAATTTATAATTTGTAGTGTTTGAACAATGCAATAATTAAAAACATTAAAATTTTTATGTGAAGTTAGTCTGTAAATGTTTAAAGTTTTACAAGTAGCATGTTTGATTTATTATCATTACTTGAACTTTGATGTACATTTAAATGTTTAAACTTACAAAGGAAAAAGTTATTTATCCTATTGAATTCTCTTTATTTTTTGACTACTTGACAGAAAGTACTATATATTTGAAGTACCATCTTTAATATATTTATGCTAATGAATTCCACTAAAAAAAAGTATATAAATGTGGGTGTGAGTGAATGTTAATAAATTTTCAAAATATCATGATAATTTCAACACTAGGGGATAAACTCATGTTTTACATATGATGTAGGTAATAAAATTATTCGATTACTGAAATATTGTTTTGGAACAAAAGTTTGATACAAATGAGATTGAATCCTTGACTTCCCACATATTAAGCATGTGCTGTGCCATATGAGCTAAAGCCTAGAGTTTATTGACATATGCAGCATTATTCATTTGAATACTGTGTGTGAGAATGGTATATGTGTTAAATAGATAAATCTTGTAAATGATGCTTTTTTAGTATTATGTAATTTCAGGTGCACTGCTTTGGTGTTGTGGGTCATGGTGGGTGCACTTGTTGGTTGTCCCCCTTCTTCCTCTTGCTGTACCTCTCAATGTCTGTATACTGAGAATGTTGCTGAATTTGAGGTGGTTACGGTCTGTTTGTTTGAGTGGGATATATATGTATTTTGCATTGCTCACATGCACCCCATTCCCCAATCAATGGTGGGATTTCTTCCAATGGTCGGCTGAACTTGAGGTGAAGACGGTATGATATTCATCCTACCCCTGCATGGATATCTGTTCCCGGCAGTCAGGTATTGGACACAGTTGACTTGCCATGTACGGTCTGTCGCACCCTAGCCACTCTACACTTTGGAGCACAGCTTTTATTTTACCCACATTCTGTTCATTTGAAAGATTGAAATTGTAATATATTGTGGTTAGGATCTCTGTCCAATCGTTTTCTCTCCAACTGGGATGTGCTCCTCACAAATTTCTGCCTGGATCTGTTCTGTCACACGTTTTTCAAATCTGGGCGAAGAGTGCACCTGGTACAGAAATAATGTGGTCTCCCATGTATAATCTTTTTATTAGAGGGTTCCCTCATGAGGGTATCCTTTGGATGCTTCTACTTTCTCCCTTGCACCAGTCTCTCCACCTATTCAGTGTGAGATTCTAGCTATACTATGTTAGCAGAAGTAAGGTACCTTGTCAAAATTTATTATTTTCCTACACTGAAAATATATTTCTGACAGGTACTTACTTCTTCTCACACTTCCCACTCTTCCTCCCCACTGTCAACTGGTGCTTAAATTTCTGCCTAAACCTGAAGTGATAGTTAGGTAGAATAACTTAGAGGGAGTCACATGAGTATGGGGCATATCTGTTGGTGGATGTTTGTTGCATGATAATTTGCATGCAAGAATCAGTTAAACCATGCGAACCTAGGGGTACGTGGGAGTGAAAGGCTTGTTGCATGAGAAAAAATATTTTGCAAATAGAGGGCAGCACTAAACTAGAAAAGCTATGTATGTGAGCGAAGTACCTGTAGGAAATATATTTTCAGATAAGGAAAATAACTTTTGTGAATATCTGGTGGGTATATGTGTCTAAATCACACTTGTATATCAGGCAGTGTGTATGTATTTTTCTTAAGCATTTACACTATGGGTAATCTCTCTTCTTTCTTTTATCTTTTTTTTTTTTGACATTTAACTTTGAAATCATTTGTAAGAACTTCATAAAATCCCATCATTTTTAAGACTTCTTTATAAATCTACCACAGGGGAGATTGCGCTGCTTTTAGACCGTCCAAGAGCAGCTACTGTAAAAGCTAAAGGTCCCCTTAAATGTGTAAAACTTGATCGAGCCCGTTTTGAACGAGTCCTTGGACCATGTGCAGACATCCTGAAGAGGAACATGACACACTATAACAGTTTGATTTCTCTTTCGGTGTAAAGCCTTCATTTTAACTACGTAAGTATACGTAATTTATGTCTATAAATTATTATATATATACAAGCAGTTCAATCTGTGCATCTAATACAGATGAAAATCTTTATAATTGCCTTTTTTTTCCTCATAGTCCTATAATCTTAAGAAATGTGTTTTCATTAATTTACCTAAATTTTTATTTTTAATTCACATTGTGATCAGCATATCCAGATTTTCTTAATATTTCAATAAATATTTAATAGTTGTTAAATGTTTTGTTTTACTTTCAGAGTAAGCTCATCTCTACTATACTGTCTATTTGATTCCGGATTTAGGTTTTTGAAGCCCAAATTCTGTGATTTATGAAAAAAAAAACTTTTTGCCAGTTTCAGTAATTTTAAATTGCTCAAAAGTTATTGGAATATCACTCCTATCTGTCACATGTTTTAGAATGTTGGCACTTCCACATACATTGTATCAGATTGTAGTTAAATTTAAGTTACTCTTGAGCAGTTTAAAGTTATTGGAATATCACTCCTATCTGTCACATGTTTTAGAATGTTGACACTTCCACATACATTGTATCAGATTGTAGTTACATTTAAGTTACTCTTGAGCGGTTTAAAATTATTGAAACTGCTTAAAATTACTGTTTTTTACAAATCAATGAGACTTTGGCCACCATAAACTTGAATATGGAATTAAATAGACAGTCTAGGACTGGTGAGCTTTCTTGAAGGTGAAATGAAATGTTTTATTTATTTTTTTTGAAATGATATGTAACTTTTATAAGGTTCTACGAGTTAAGACTTTTGTAACAAATTAAAGGTAATCACACCTTTTTGTGCAAATCTAACTTAAACCTATCTTATTTTTAACGAATCAGCCAAGTCCTGATTCGTTAAAACCAAGTTTTTAAAACTAATTATCCTAATTAGATACCCAGGATTTATACTTGGAAACTGTTTTATTGATAACGATTTTTTTTTCTCCCATTACAGAAGGTTTGTGGTGAAAGTTTTTGAGTTAAAACTTTTGAAAGTGGACTTCTTGAGGTAAGAAGGGTATAATGGAAACACCAAGTTCACTGGTTAGAAGCAGCATAATAAACCACTGTCAGTTTTGTGTAGAATATGTGTTTAGTATCCTCATGACTGTTTATTGTATCAAAAACTAATGTTTTAACCTGTACACTTCCCTCTAGATAACCTCCCCATTTTTTTATTCCTGGAAAGAGTTGGTAGAATTAGTGCTGTTATAAAAAATTTATGGGGTTCATAGTTATTGTTGTGCGTGTTGTTATACAGTATTTGATGGTTTTTATATATAAAATGATATTTAGCCAAGTAGCACAATAAGGTATTTAGAATTTTTTATTACAATTGGTGAATTTAAGAATTAGTTCTAAAATTTAAATTGTTGAATTACAAAGTTATTATTGTATTTAAAAGTTTTTAAGAGGAGAGAAGTTTTCTTGTTTTGGTTTTTGATATCAAATCTAAAATCTGTAGTATTTATTAGTCATTTATTAAAGTATTATAAAACCAATGTTTACTCAGGATATGTTTAAATAGATCAACTGTGTACTAATATGAATAAAAGATCAGTACACCAATATCTAGGATCAAGAAGTGTATGTAACATGCACTGTCTCTTGAAAAATCATTATTTAATGTTTCACCTTTAAGACGTTGTACTAATTGAAATTTGTTCTTTTTTAAGTGTATTTTTCTTGTTCTAGTCTTGTTTTGGGCATTAAATGCAAAAGGGTTTTAATGAAAGTACACTTTTGAGATGCAAGTTTTTGGTTAAACACATACCATAATTTGTAAGTGTTCAGAACAGGTAATAGTTTAAGTTTTAAAGAACAAAAAGTAAGTTATAATTTTTTGCACAAATTTGCACACAAAATAAGAAAATTAACAAAGTAAGTGTGATTTTTGACAAACTGTATGACTGAAAACTTAGCATTGGTGTTAAAGAACAGGTAATAATTTAAGTTTTAAAGAAGAAAAAGTAAGTTATGATTTTTTGCACAAGTTTTGTAATTTGAATTTAAGAAACGTTCATTGTACCAGTTTTTTGTTTGTTAAGTTGTGTAACTTTTGATAAATTTGTGTATTTTTGAATATGTTGAACATAATGTTATTGTTAATTTCTCAGCAACTATAGAGAAGGCCATAAATTTTCATACCATTCTTCATCTATGCATGATAGAGTACTTGGTTTATGTTATTAAAGTAATTTATCTTAGAAAGAAATTCAGTGATTTTTGTTTTTTCAACTCCAAATACTCTGATTATAATGTAATTTTACAAATTCTAGTGCATGTAATGTATTTATAATAAGAACCTTATTGCACACAAAATAAGAAAATTACCATAGTAAGTGTAATTTTTGACGAACTATATGACTGAAAATTTAGCATTGGGGGTTAAAAGTGTGTCATTTCATGGTCTTAAGAAAATGTTAAAGATAATATTTTGTTATTGTGTTGATGTTTAATATCCTTGTATTTACGGCTGTAAGTTGTGTGATTTTGTCTGTTTTGTTTTTTCTCTGATATGTCACTTACATTTGTTGTTTGAGCTAACCTGTTGTTTGCTTCAGTTGTTGTGTAATGATAAACTTTAATATAATAAACAAGTTGCTTAATCTCATGATATCTGTACCTTAAAATGTATATGATACACTAGAAACTTTTTAAAGTTATAAAACAAGTACCAACTTATAAGCTGAACGTACTTGATTAATTTTTGGCCTCAGCTTATGAATGAGTAAGCTTTCTTTTATTATATTAAGGTCTTAAAATAACTTGAATGGACCACCTAGGGTGTGCTCTATTACACTTGAATTATCCAGCACCCAAAAATGTGCTTGTTCTTCAACTGGCATCAGCAGCTTTTTAGTAGCAAAACCAATGTAACCTTGTTTGCAACAAAGACAGGTAAATTGGTAAACTACATTTGATGTTTCCATTGAAGAAATGTAATATTTATATTTGACGAATACTACAGATGTCATCCTGGTTTTTAAAAAAACATCTCAATTGTACCTGCAGATTCACTACATTGTATGATGCACAGATACAATATTTATGGATATGTGGCAAGGTTATACAAATTTGACATGTAGAAACTTCATACCATGATAAATTATTGAAGTTTTGTTTGTTTAAATAGATGCATATTATTCTATCAATCAGATAAGTAGGAAAACCATTTCATAGAAAATTAATTAAGATCTTCACCAAGTTTCCTTTAAACAAAGTTGGTATATAAATTATAAGATTAAAATAAAGATTGTTAAATGTTATTTTGTAGTAAACTTCACATATAAAGTTATCATCACAATTATGAACCAATGCATTTAAAATTGCAAGTTTACAACCTTGCTGATATTCAACAGCAAATTTAGTACTATTTGAATACTCCAGAAATTAAGTAATATGATCTGCATCTTTGAAAATATTAAGTGTCACCCCCATACCTCCAATAACATAATGGTTTAAAAGACTGTGGTCAATTATCCAGCAATTGTTTTTTTTATGAAAACAAAGAAAATGATTAGCTAAAAACAGAGCCAATCTGGAATCCATAGCTACACCACCAGTCTGATTATAAAGGGTACCATTGAACAAAAAATGAGATTCTATAGCAGCAAAATTAATTAACTTGCGAAATACAGATTTAGAAAAGCATAACTAATTTGAATTGTCAATAAAAATTGAATCTGCACTTATGAGTATTGTTTCTTTCTAAGGGGATGTTAGTATACAATGACACAATGTAAAACTAAAGCAATAAACCTTACTATCCAACTTTTACTTTTGTATTTCACTAGAAAATTCAAAACCGTCTGTTAAGTATATTTATTAGCAGTATATTTCTTCAAAAAATCCATGTTTGCAAGTTCCAACATTTGAGATTATAGGACTTCTATGTTTATATATTTTGGGAAGACCATAAAAAATTACCCTGGAGATTTCCTAATGGTCTAATTATTCAACATTGTTTCTGCTTTGATATTAGGTCGTAAAGAAATTAATGTCGCGTTTCGGAACACTTTCATTACCCCCCAGCCAAAAAAAAGTACATCATGTATAATAGTCAAACCGCCTAAACATCACGTTAGTGTAGCCTATATAATGTCCAAAGTTTAGTATACTCTAATCCCTTATAGTGATGGCACACGACGAGACACACATTCGAGATGACTCGTGAAATGGCCCTGAAATTGCATGTCTCTCACGAAACAATACGTAAAGATACAAGGAATATGGGAAAACACCTTAAAGAAGGTGTTTGAGTGCCTCACGAACTCTCCGATGATCATCGTTTCCAACATATAAACGTTGCTTCGTCTCTTCTGGCGCGTGAACCATTTTTGGACAGAATTGTCACCGGTGTTGAAAAATGGATTCTTTATGCAAATATTAAACGCCAAAAACAATGGGTCAGTCCTAGACAAAAGCCACTTCCGACTCCAAAACTTGGACTCCATCCGCAGAAAGTGATGCATTGCATTTGGTGGATATCAAAGGAGTAATTCATTTGGAACTCCTCAATCCTGTCAATGCAGAGATCTATAGTCAGCAACTGGAACGTTTAAATCAAGCCCTTCATCAGAAACACTCGTCAATAGGAAAGGTGTTCTTCGTCACCACGACATTGCACGTCCACATGTGGCACGTTTGACGTAACACAAGATTATGGAGTTGGGTTGGTAAGTTCTCCTCCACCCACCATATTCTCCGGATATGGCACCATCAGATTACCATCTTTTTCGTTCTCTGCAACACCATTTTAATGGGAAAACGTGTGGAAGGTGTCAAAGGTGACATCGACATGTTTTTTTGCTTCAAAGCCAAGTGATTTCTTTAATCGGAACATTAACAACCTGATTGTAAGATAGAAAAGCATCATCGATAAGAATGGAGACTATTTCATTTAATAAATGTTTTGTTTTGATATATAAGTTGTTCTGGGTTTTTCATCTAAAAAAAAGCGACATTAATTTCATGACGACCTAATACATTAGCTTTATTAATTTCAATAAATAACTCTGTAATTTTATTTCTGCAGTGTCAGTAAGACCGTGGTCAAGTTTCAGAAGTTTGGTTTAGTCATTCAAGATATTTTAAACTTTACTTAGATATTCCTTTTAATCCAATATAAGTACAATCAGATTTAATAAAATATTTATTTTTGTTTTCACTAAGCTTTTTTTTCTGATTCTCACAAACCTTCCTTTACCTTTATTTAAAAATTTTTAATTAGAGCTACAGTTATTAAAACAAAAGTTAAAACTGATCCATTAAACTTGAGATGTAATATTACTAAAATATTCTTGAGAATTAGATCAATTATAACATTAAACGGATATGTGATCCTAATGCGCTTAAACAGTGTGTTATTTACAAGGAATTTATAACATCAAAATGATATGTGCCTAATGCATTTATAACATAGATTATACACCAGAAACTTGTAAAGTTGAGTAATATCTGTACCTAATGTGCTGGGGATGAAATAATTACTAGGAACCGGTAAAGTCATACAGTGTGAATATGTAATGTATTAAAAGTGTAAAACATACATTGGGAACTCATCAAAATTATATCTTTGGCCATCTTCCAGAATGAAGTATAAAAATATCCATCTCAAATTTATATTTAAATAATCATTTGAGATACACAAAAACTAGTGGTGGTAATTTATGTTTGATGATAGCTCCATCATTTGGTATGACAGCTTCTACTTCTACCCTATCTGGTAATAGTTCACACCTATTATAAAGGTTTATCACACTATAAGAACAATGTTCTAGGTTCCATGCTGCCTTTAGCTCGTTCTGATGACCATGATTGTGTGCCATTGCAATTTCCAGTTTTAATAAAAATGTAGAATATTCACTAAGAATATATAATATCACATATAATCCTAACTTTGATTACTTCACACTCAAATATAAAGATTTTCATTTCAAGATTTATTTGTATATTAGAAATGATATGTACCTAAACATAAGGTACTACCACTCTTGGATAACATCTTGCACCTACTACTGTGGTTTTTCAGAAGTAAAACTATAATCAAAAGAAGTTACAAATACCACAAACTCCGAAAGGTCTTAAGTCCAGCAAATACCATATATGTTTCAGAAACTTTCTAGCATGCAAATAACAAAATTTTCCAGAAAATTTCTTGCTACTTGTGGCAGCCATTTTGAAAGGAGGGGGATGTTTTTGTCGTGATTTAGCATTTATTCCTTATTGGTCGGAGGTAAAAGTTCCTGAAACGTACTACCAGTGCTCAAAACTTGGTAACCAATTACTAGAAATTTTTCAGATACATTGGGGAACTTATTACGAAACAAAGCTTTGGTAACATACTTAGTGTACGCTGGGCTTTTTGAAATGTTTACAGGGTGTTATTTAATTGAACTTAATCAAAAGAAGTAAGAGACTGCACAAAGAATGCTTGTATTACAACAAAAATGTGACATCAGTAGGACTTGCATTTCTGTTGTGAGCAGATTAACTAAGCCTTTACCAACCGTCTCTCTAAACAGAAGATGGAGCATATAGCACTTAAACTTTTCAAGCTGATCATCAAAAGTCAAGAGGATATCAAATAATAATATTACCTTAGATTAAACATCAGGTGCTCTATTGCCATTCTGGAAATGCTATGTCACATTCAATGCGAACTACTACAATTAATGAAAAAACAAAGATCAAAACCTCTCTCCTCCCAGGTGACTGCTACATCAAACGTTACCAAAACGAAAGAGAATTTGACCAATGTGAACGTCAGACACGTAGATGCACATTTTAAGTTTGGCATATCTTGTTTCAATGGGACTACTATTGTACTGATTTTTTTTTAAAAATGTACTGAGTATACCCCAATAAGGATATATTGTTTTATGTCATGAATATTTTACAATTACGATACCCGTATATTAAATCATCACTGTTTAATGAAACTCACACCTACTACTTTTTAATAACAGTTCATATCATCTACTGCTTGATAATAGCTCGTGCCTAATGTTACTGTATATGATGGCTTATGCTTAATACAGTTGTCACATGAAAGTTCATCTTCACTAACACTGTTAAATGACAATTCACACCTATTACTGATAGCTTTCACCACCAACATTGTTGACAGCTTATGCCTAATACCATTGCTTGATGGCAGTTCATCCTCCCTAATACTGTTAGATGATGGCTAATACCTACAATCACAGATATTAGCCTTCACATACATCTAGTGTTACCGTTGTTAACAGTTCGTATCTACAACCATTGTTTAACGAGAACTCGTATCTTCTGCTTAATGACATCTTGTATCTTCTATTACTGCTGGTAACAGCTCACATCTAATATTATTGTTATCAGTTCACATCAACTATCACTGTTAGAGGAAGTCTTGTACATTTTGTTTAATGGTAGTTTGTAGCTTATGTTGGTAACAGCTTAAATCAAATATTACTGTTATTAACAGTTCACATCAACTATCACTGTTTGATAAAGTCTTATACCCTCTGTTTGATGATGGTTTATAACATCTACGGTTGGTAATGGCTCACATCAAGTATTACTATTGTTAATTGTTCTCATCTACTACCACTTGGTGATGATGCTTACTAC